GTGTGTGGGGGGGGTTGTAAAAATAAGAAAAGCCTTCGAGAATGACGCCAAATCGAATGGAAAATTCATTAGTGTTAGGCTAAGCGAAATCGCAGCGCATGCATTTATTTAAGTAGAAAAATAAATAAAACGAGTAATATATGCTCGCGCCAAGTAGCGGGAGCGATTAAATTTAAAGTACGGAAATAGCCGAAACGAGCGAAAGTGATGAAACAACTCGACGACGACGGCCGGTCAAGGTTCGCGATGAAAATTCGGAAAATTTTCGACTAACCTCGCCGCGCCGAGGAGAGTAGCGCGGAAAAAGCGGAAAAAAAATAATATAGGCGAAGCCTCGTCACTCAACATTGTTCCAAGTATCTCGTACTTTCAAGCGCTTACATAAACACATTCATAAACAGCAGTCGATTTTGTTTTTTCCGGTCGGTCGGAGCGAGTATTTCCTCGGCTACCTAAACGCAATCGCAATCGCATCGCCCACGCACGAGCAAAAAAATGGCGTGGGTCATGCCAATAAGCGCGCACGGGAAAGAGCGGCGATGGGTGGGATGGACGGGATGGGACAGACAAGCAGGGAAAGGTGAGAGGAGTAGGATAAAATGGCAAACGTACGCGAGGGACGAGCCCGGCTGTACTGGCATCAATATTTTTAGAATCGGCAATGTTCCACCGCCGGTTTCGACGCGTCGCACGCTGTCGGCCGAGCGTGTGTGTGAATTGGCTTGCGCGCGCGCCCGCTCATCCTCCCTCTCGACCAATTGTCCGCCCGACGACCGTTAATTATTAGCATTGCAGATGCGGCCACCGCGCGAGTTGTTTATCTTTCGCGATTGGCCGGTGACTTGCGACACCTCGTCACGCATCCACTGCTCCAAACTCGCGAATGCACCGAGAAGAAAAGAGCGGTGGATAATAAATAGGGCATTTGTGGATTTAGATGTACTTAACGAGATGTACCAGCGAGCTTTGCCAGTGTCCGAAGATCATTAACATTAATAAGCAATCCAATACGTTTGAGCTTCCATTATTGGCATTATTCTTTCTTAATTTTAATTGCATTTATCATACAAAATGAGAGAGTACAGCCACTGGTTTGTTTTTTCCTGCTGTGCATGAAAAGTGAAGAAAGCGTTGGCCCATTAAAATAGCACGTGCGAATAACTATCTTTGTCGCACTTATAATAACTAAGTATGATAGTGTAAGAAATTTTAGACGCTTTTTTACACAATAGGCGCTTATGTCAAGTACACTTGCACACCAACTATAATATCATCGATTAACAAGCATTTTTAATTTTAACGTATAAATCGGTGCCTAACAACAGAGCTTATGAATGTAATTCAACGTTCCTGTCACCTAACAAAGACGTCACGTCACCTAAGATGTCTAGATTATCTTTTGCTTACTAATGTTCGTCCCTAAATAACGAGTATCGATTGAACGAACGTCTCTCCCACGATTAAACAGCACCATCCCAATCCTCGGACAATCAGCGAAACGCCGAGGCCGAACATTATCAGCATAGCGGAAGGATAACGCCGCCGGCGACGAATCTGCCAAGATTCAAGAAGTACGAAGTCACGGACTTTAATTTCCTTAAGGTTTGTAACGCCATTTTCTTATGATTTCTTAGAACTTAAGCCGTTAGAATTCATTCTCATTTCATAAGGCCTTGCCTTTATTTATTTATTTATTTATTTATTTTTCTTTTTTCTTTTTTCTTTTTTTTTCTTTTTTTTCTTTTACCGAAATCGAGAGCGTTTATTGTATTTTTTGATAAAAATAAAGTTCTCGTTAGCGATATTCATAGCTCTGTAGACTGTAATTTTTGCGTTTCGTTGAATTTTGAAATAAACGTTCAAACATAAGTTCGCGGCTTTTATATAATAGTAGATTTAAAAGATCCATGGACGTTGAGTTTTTATGTTAAAAGTTAAAGAATTTAAAAAAATAAAAAATAATAAAAAACATCTATATATATATATATACATGTATAATTGTAAGAGCGACGAGAGCATTGTAAACCATGTGAGTTGTGAGTGACAGAGAAGAATTAAAAAATGCATTTTAATTAAATAAAACATCTTAATTTCTAATATAAGCTTATATATATATATATATATATATATATATATATATATACGCTAATTGCCTAGGCGTAACTCTATCGATTATATCTTTAAATAGAATTTATCGTTTGGCAAGTTCATTTCTTGCCGGACATAAATAGTTAAGTATATGATAATAAGTTGTTAAACGCTTTACGCTTTCGTAATTAAAATGCATTATATTAATTTGTACAGGTTCTCATCGTTGATGTTTAGTTTAACAATGAAAATAATTTGTTTAAAATACCAGTAAAATTAGAGTAGGTTCCTTAAACTTAAAGCTCGAATGTTTCATAAAGGCAATCACTCAAGTATTTAGAAGAAAGTAAAATTCATCTTCGCCTGTCGTTCGACGCCCACGTGCTGGCCTTTTAAAATATTTTAATGCCCTAAATTAAATAATATCAATTATATTCAAGTTAACATCAACGTCGATCAACTTTAATAATTGTTAAAAATATAAATATATTATATGATCAAATATATGTATACGTATTGTTTAACATTGAATAATGAACTTGTGAAAGAAAAACAAAGTATCTCGTTAAAGCACTTTTTCATTTGTATTTGTTAAAAGAAAATTTACTAATTACTTTGCATTAAATAATAAAATAATTTACTTAGCTGCTTACTTATTTAAATACTTGACGATAAGATGCCGATAGAAAGAATATATATATATTTATATTATTTTGAAAACTATTTTTTAATAGTGTTTGGATTTTTTCATATTAATGTGCAATAACTCAGGCAATATATTACGAGTATGTAATACGGCTAAATTTTCAATTTTTCGTGTGCTAAATAATTGTTAAAAAGGTTATTGAAAGTTGTTCTATATTAAATTGTCAGGAGCAGAATGAGAAAACGGAGAAGTAAAGTGTTTTGTTCAACAGGTATTAGGTAAGGGCAGCTTCGGTAAAGTTCTATTGGCCGAGCTTCGAGGTACCGAGTGCGTCTACGCCGTCAAGTGCCTGAAGAAGGACGTGGTCCTTGAGGACGACGACGTCGAGTGCACCCTGATCGAGCGGAAAGTCCTAACACTGGCGACCCGACATCCCTACCTCTGCCATCTCTTTTGCACCTTCCAGACCGAGTCCCACCTATTCTTCGTGATGGAGTATCTCAACGGCGGCGACCTCATGTTCCACATCCAGAAGAGCGGCCGCTTCTCCGAGCCGAGGGCCAAGTTCTACGCGGCGGAGATCTGGTCGGGCCTTATATTCCTTCACAAGAAGGGTATCGTTTACCGGGACCTCAAGCTCGACAACGTACTCCTCGACTTTGAGGGTCACATCAGGATCGCGGACTTTGGCATGTGCAAGCTACAGATATTCCTGGACAGGACTGCCGACACATTTTGCGGCACCCCGGACTACATGGCACCCGAAGTGAGTTGCGCTCGGCTCGAGTTGCTGACGGCTCGGCCTAATCCTTCATTAATCCATCTTAAAGTGACCGCCAAGTCAAGGGAACTGCATTTATTTCCGGATCATTGTAGTCGATCATTGTTGACGTGGATCATTGGCTTTTAATTAAACGGCTACTGCTATGTCATTCGACCTGGACTTGGGAAATTTACTTTTCACGCCCACCTCTGCAAATATCGCGATATTAATTCGCCTCGGTCGCTATTCCTTGCCCCGGGATCTCGAAAAATTTTTAAAAAATAAGCCAACATTCGTCGGACCATTTATTTTACATTTCCAACTTGACATAACGGGCCCCTGCATTCAGCCTCGTAATTTTCCCTTCACAAACATTTCAAAACATCATTATTACCATTATTCTTTCATAATTCCTTAATGCGATTTCCCAAAGACTTTTATGTTTTATTTTACTTTACCAATGTTTAAGACTATATATTAGACGATAAATTATGTTGACGAATGAATGATTCTTGGATCGTCTCGTTCTAGTTCGACCGATGGACATTGCCATTAGTAATTGACTAATAATCCATAATAATAAAATAATAATCAATCTCGAGCGTACGTCGACGCCATATACTAATAAGGTATTACGAGTGCCGAATTAAGCGCATTTCATAAGTTTATAAAAGTCGTTTTTCAGTTTTTGCAACTGCATAGCAATAATGCTGTTACATCGTATTACATGTGGTGTTGAGAAATTTCATCGATTACTTCTCGCTCCATTTATAGGAAATCAAACTATTAATATACTTTAGAATATAATATAGTACGCCGCGTGCAATAAATGATTTAGCAAGTCATTCAATCATTATTAAGCATACTGAAAAAGTAAAATCATGAGAATTAAATTGCATTTATCATAAAGTGCAAATAGTCTTTACGACGAGAATATCGAATAACGAACTGATGACTGAAAGCAATGGAAAATATTAATAAATAACTGTATCTTTGGGTTTTGTCTATTATTTTATTAACATTCAACAATTATTCGGGAAGTTGAAAATCTTTCATTCTACATTGCCTTATGATCGTCGATACGAGTGCTTTTAAGATATAACAGATTCAGTGCTCCGTCATGATAACATAGTTCGACAAATAATTATCAAACGGGTTATCTGCTATCTTCGTCCAATCGACAAAGAATTAACGCACGATTAATATGTCGGAAGAACGTTCGAGCATGCCTGCATATATTTTTGAATTATTATAATATCCGAGCGCTAACGTGTCGTTAATAACGAGCGATTCGAGATATTTGCCTTAATATATCGGGGAATCGATTAAAGTACTGACTAATGCTGACATTTCTCTTTCAGATAATAAAAGGACTGAAGTATAATCAAGCGGTGGATTGGTGGTCCTTCGGCGTCCTCCTATACGAGATGCTGACCGGTCAGTCACCGTTTTCAGGCTGCGACGAAGACGAGCTTTTCTGGAGCATCTGCAACGAGAGGCCGTTCATTCCGCGCTACCTGAGCCAGAGCTCGACCGATATTTTGGTCTGCCTCCTGGAAAAGGACGCGGGCAAGAGAATACCCGGCCACGAAATCGCCTGCCACTCGTTCTTCTGTGTAATTATTAATTTGCGGCTTCGTTATCACTATCCTTATCCTTATCGCTACGATCGATCTTGCCCCCTCCCAACGACTCGTCGCAATTTCATGATGATTTTTTCTTTTTGTAAGCACGCGCACGCCAAGACTCGGTGCGTTGTGTAGCCGCGTTACAACCACGAGTTTTTATCGATTTTTTTATCGACATATACATTCTACAAAAATACCTGTAATTTACAATAAGACGATTGTTTTGCATTAGTACTTACGGCATTGTTCCAGTCGATGCTCATTGTCTGCATCTCCGACGGCATCGCCACCTATGAGGAGAAAATTAAATAAACGTCGATTAACTCGAAACTCGTGGATTCTAACTACATTTTTCATTAGATTAAACTTCCTAAATTGTCAATTTGCACGTGCCGCGTTGATAATTGTTCAATGTCCTTTTTACCTACTTTTAGACGTTTAGATTTAGCAAATTTGGCTTGTGGGTGTTCCTTATGTTTTGTTTATCTGCCCTCCCTGTAGACGATCGCCTGGGACAAGCTGGAGCGACGAGCGTTGGAGGCGCCCTTCAAGCCCGCGGTGGAGCATACCCTCGACACGCGGTACTTCGACACCGCCTTCACCGCCGAGCGGCCCCGACTCACCCCCGTGCCCGACGAGATTCTCACCTCCATGGACCAAGCGGTCTTCCGCGGATTCTCATACACGAATCCCAACGCGACCGACTGAGGCGATCACCGGCGCTGGCTTCGACGTCGAGGTTGCCGCTCGCTGGCACACCCTGGAGCTACGCTCGAGCTTCTCTCGAGAGGAGGAGCGAGCATTCCGGTCGTCGGCTGACCCCTTAAATCAAGGGCCCATCGAGACTTTCATTCTGCCGCTCGTAACGGCTCGGTCGACCATCGAGACATAACGCGGATACCGTTTCCACGAGGATACCTATCCCGATGAAGTCAGACCCGCTTTCGGCTTCTTAGTGATCTCTAGCCGATAGCCCATGCCGATGCAAGCTCCCTGGAGGAGTTTTTTTTTTTTTTCTTTTCTTTTTTTTTTTTTTTTAATTCCGTCTCGAACATCATCTGCTCGATGATCGACGGAGAGCCTCGTCCGGGATCCCGGATCACTTTAATCGTCGAGGCTGTTAGTTACCCGTGCAGTAGCGAGAGTCTTTTGGATACTCGATCGCTTCGCGAGTCAATTATTATTATGTTTTGAGGTTGCGAGCATCCGAGTACCACAGGGATGTGACGTTTGGAAGACGAGACGAAATATATTCCGGGGACTCGTCCCGAGCTGACGCTGCACCGATCATCATCTCGAGAGAGCCCGGGCTCCTTTAAGGCATTAAGAGTACTCTGGAGTGTTTGCAGTGTTTGACGCTAAATGAGCGGCGGAGAGGGTGGGTTGGCGGATTGGCGGGATGGTGAGGGGGATGCGATAATCTTTCTTTTTCTTTTTTGCTTTTTTTTATTTTGTTTTTGCTTATCATTCGTGATAGCGTCCTGAATAATGGGAGCGTAGTTGGGAAAGCGAAGCGCGTTAATGGTGCCAGTGCTGCTGCATCTTATCTTTGGCTTCTCTGGTCTTAAGAAGGACCTTTACGAAGTTGAGAAAGGGCTCGTTACGTTCACGAGTCTCGGTAGATGGGTTATTATTGTCGCTGATGCGAGGGTCGCCGAGTTTCAAGCCTTGATTGTTGAAAATGTTGAAAATGCATTTATAATGTTGTTAAGGAAAGGTCGAATTTGCGCTTTGTGGGAAACGCGATGATTAGTCGCAATGGGGACGGTATTAAATGTCACGGGGTCAAATGGAATGCGGCCGGAGTGGGGATGGTGATGTAGAACAATATTATTTCTCAATGTCGAAAATCGGATTTTTAATGCTAATCAAACAAACGCTTCAGAGTCCTCTTAAGAGAGCGTTCACTCAATTCAATCGACTTTGTAAATAAAAAGTATTAGAGTACTATGAGATGTTACGCGATTCAAATATATGAACGATTAAATGGTAACACTGCTGTGTACGTTACAAATATTTATACGGATTTTCTTAATCTTTCTTTCTCCAATGAATTATTATTATAAGCTTTTAGTTGACTGCTCATTTTCTTGTTGTTATTCTATATTGTTCATTGTTGAGAATAAGTTGAAAAAAATATCCTTGTGATATAATCGAGCGATTTAGTAGAACTTGTATTATCGATAATTGTTATAATTATAAAATAACTTGTTGATTACTCATTGTTAAAGAAAATTATTTATTTGGCAGGCAGCGCATTGTGTATCGAAATTTTATAATTATCGAATGCCTTATCAAGATAAATATTGGTCAATTGACGATACCGTCGGATATCAATAGCCAAAATTACAAGTGAATTGAAATAAAAGAACTTTAAACATCGTTGGTGTTTTTTCATTCATTTATATTTTACACTTTTATCAACGTCTTGAGTATCACTCCACTGTATAATCACAATGAATAACAACATTAAATGTGAAATATTCGTTGAAAATCGATGTATTTATGAATTGTTGCAATTCTATGACAAACTAATATATGCATATATATATATATATAAATATTAAAAAATCCTTTGTAATTGGTATTCGTAAGATTATAAGTTTATTTTCAATATTTATATTATTACATTATGATAACTTTTAATTTCACTAAAACTTGCATTACATATAAAATTTATTTATTTATTGTTAAAATATAGGAGAAAATATTTCTTAGATTAATTTTGCATATATAGCTTATTTGGAATCAACTTGAAATAGATGTAAGAAATTATCTGAAATTGAAATTTATAAAAATTCATAGGGTACTGGAATTATGAAACAATTTAACATATAACAGAGTAATATATTGAGAATTTAGAAAAAGCTTTTAAATAAATTAAATGCCTGACGATTAATTTTCGTAATTTTCTGAAACAAACGTTTTAAACAAATTATTCATTGCAATGCTGCAAAAGCTGTATTATATAATGCAAGACGAATATGTAAATGAGAAAATTAAGAAATTATAGTGAATTTCAAAATAGTTGAATTATTTATGAATGTCTGAAAAGAAAAGAAAAATTTATAACAAATATATATATACGAATATTACAGTATATACGTTGGTTTTCGAAAATCAAACGTTGGTTTGATTTATATATAACCTACTAATAGAGCAAATTATAATGAGATTTATTTAATAAATAAATACAGCTTTATGTGTCTTTTAATTTTTCATAAATTCTGAAAATTCGTTACTTTATAGTCTAAATATTATTTACAGGTATTTTAAGAAAATATCGTTTTGCCATATTTTTAATACGCATATATATATATATATATATATGTATATATATATACAGGTGACATGCAATTGGTTTTTCCATATTCGAGTGCGTTTTTAAACGCAATAATTTATTAAATTTCTCTTTAATTTTAAACCATTGATACTGCAATTACCGATATATTTTTTTCCGATGCTTATTGTCCTGTGTCGTAAAATCTCCAAAAAAAATCACAAAGCTCGAATCGTCATAAAGGACCTATTTACTGTTGATAAAATTGAGGTTATGTTGATATTATAATACTTAAATAATCGTGGGAGGCTGAAAAAAGTCGTTTAAATAATAATAAATCGTAGTAACTGTTACAATTGACACTCGAGTGTATAATGCAACTTGCCTGACTTTCCAAATCCGAGAGAGAGCTGACAATGGCAATATCCATCCGTATATTGCAATATCGATAGCATCGTATTATAATTACTCGAAAGAAATGAAAATTCTATTCCCTTTCGCGCAATGGGCGCAGTCATTGAATTTTGAAGTTGATTGTAATAACGGCACACGCGAAATAAATCATCGCGGCTCTCGCGCAGATCGCAATCGTTCCTCTATTCGACATCTCAAGTGGCCATTCCAGCCCTCGTGGATTTGCGCTACTGTCACGTGACATGCCGAGCTTGCAATATGCGTACTCGCGTAGACGAGCAGACGTGTAGTGGTAGGTAAAGAGAGAGAGAGAGAGAGAGAGAGAGAGAGAGAGAGAGAGAGTGAGACACGACTCTGGTCGCCTCGTGCCAAGTCGTTCGGGTTATTAATACACGCGGGCACGGAGCAGCTCCTTATTATTTTTGCCCCGGTAGATTAAGTTCGAGTGGCCCGCCCCGTCACACGCTCACTTCCTCGACTCTAATCGTCTTATTTCCTCCATCTCTATACTTACTCTGGCTCGTGCGTCTTCGATAACACTCGGCTTCCCTCGGCTCGACTCCTACGCCGTCACTTTTTCGCAATGTGGCAGGTGGGGGCGTCGACCATTATGTAAATGCAATCATTAGCCGATGATTTTGTTTCTCTACAAGCATTCGTCGATCGCGAATTACGGAGATTTCGATTTATCCAGATTAGAAGAGACGGAGAATGGTCGGGCTTGTTGACTAGACGTGAGCGAAAAATTGGAATTCGCCACTTGGTAAGCAAAATCGCTCTCGTCTCAACGCGACTGCGTAAGAAACGAATATTGCCTTTGTGAATAATAGTGTTATTTTTGGTACTTTAAAAATGAAATTCCTTTACGAGTTCAATCTGTGAAAATATTTTTTCCCCTTATGGCTCTTGAGCCAAAGAAAACAACTATGTAGCCAAAAGGCCAAAAGGATGAATTCTAAACAGAAACATTCCACCACTCCTACAAATACTTGGTATTGCTCTTTCTTTTTAGTTTATTTCCCTCCCCCCCCCCCACCCCCCTCGTTTTACTAAGGCATATTGATTATTCTGCTAAAAACATAATTATTATCTTATTCTATAAAATTAGATTATTATTAATATCTTATTATTAGATAAGTAAGCAATAACCCAATCCCAATCCAAGAATTCGCTCTATGTACAATAGATATTGATGTTGGCATTAATGAAGTAAATGAGCTCTCGCTATTGGTTAACTATTGTGTATTAATATTGTCTATGAAATTGCTCACAAAGCGATTATGAATCAATCACATTCACGTTAATGGAAATTGGAAAAGCGAGGCGGTGGTGGCGGCAGTTTCGTGGTAAAGATTTTAGCCGATCCATGATAGCCGATCCGAGTGACTGAAAGTACTCGATAGCAAATATATCAGGGATGGGCGCTCGGAGCTTCGAATCCATAGAGGTTCGAATCCATCCACGATATTACGAGCTCGATGAAGCTCTTGGAAAAGCACCTACTCCCCCTGGGGCCCGAAATCCGGGCTCCGAGGCGACGAGCCCGAGGAGAATGGAGATGATGATACGAGGATCAGACTCGACGACCTCGCGTGCGGCAGCGGCTTCTTCGAGCATCGCCTCGGCACCGTTCGACAATGAAGTGGTGCGCTAACTTTAGACTCCTCGCGGTTGCTGCGAGATCTAATTGTCGAGGAAATATCCGTTAAAGGCTGATCGCGGCCCTTCAGCTTTTGCACTGCCGTGAATTCTTATTCGCGCGGATGTCGAGCCCCGATTGTAAACGCCATCTTCTGCGCGGAGATGGCGAAGGGACGCGAAGGGTCGCGAAGGGATGCGATAGAATGGATTAAGGAAGAGGAATGAGGATAATGAGGATGAGGATGAGGATGAGCACGAGGAGGAGGATAATGAGGATGAGGAGGTGGTGTAGGAGGAGGGGGGTGAGGAAGGGGGGGGGGAGGATTTTGGATAAGTGAGGCGATCTCTCGGTCCTTTGACCACTCGCTTTTCGGACCAAATTATACCATAAAGAAGCGATTAATTAACTTTTAATCTTTAATCTTGTGCATTCGGATCTTTACATTTAATATATCTGACTTAGTTTGCGTGCGGTATATGTTAACTTGATGATTAACTCGATCGATTTCTAATTCAATTTTACTTTTGGGTGTAAGGAAGCCGAGGCACATTTTGAACATTTTACAACTACATTTCTTCTTTAATAATTAAATGTCAAATAAATCAAGGAAAATATTTGAAAATGATGTCCATTGAACCAAATAATTTATGCATGTCTGGAATAAATACTCTTTTGTCTT